GACCTTCTGTATGCCTATGTGGAGAGACTGCTCCTGCAGTGCTGCCTTAGGTTGAATGCACATCTCCTGTGCGCACCCACGGGCACAAGACCAAGCCTGAAGACTCAGGTAGCCCATCACACCACTTGAATCCAGACACCTTCACTGAACAGCATTTGCATGACAAAAACCTGCTTGGATGTCTACAAACAAACCACCTCCTGCACAGAAAACACAGAGAACACCCCCAAAACCAAAGCAAGTGGTTTAACTGTGCCAGGCAGATGCCCTGGGGAGTTGCATGAGCTGATGGATATGGAAGGAAGCAAGAGTCCAGAAAAAGCTGGTCAGATGCCCGTCAGCCAACAAATGCCACACGGAGAAGGTTAGACAATATGCTAAAGGGAGAGGGGGACATATCTATAGAGTTGATTTCTCTACGAAAAAGGCAATTTGCATGGCTTTGCTCTGCATTTTGAAGGCTGTTTACCGGCCCAGGCTTTGTCTTAGCTGAAATGTGGGCAGCATTTCTAACGAGGCGCATGCAAACCGGAGCTCCCGGGAGGCTTTGCAGCAGAACCGATTGCAAAAGATTAGCGCCAGGGCTTAAGAGAGCAAGAGAGAAGGGAAAGTAATGAAACAAAATCTCTCTTTCTTTTCCTCGGTTGAGGAATGATGGGGGCTAATTGCTTGTTGCTGGTGAGAAAGAGAGGAGATAGCAGCTCCTGCGCCCATCAATAAATTAACCCCGGCATGTGGCATCTGAAACGCATTCATTTCCAGAGACGTTTATCTCTTTGTCTCCTCTCCTGGGTGAAAACATAATTATTGTTTAAACATGAGTTAATTCAGCAAGGTGAGGATCAATAAAGCAGAATTACTCCTCTTTTAAAAGCCGAGAAATCTCAATCTAGGACGCATGTGGACATAACTCTGGCAGCGCTGATGGATGGGGAAGACGCTTTGGTCGTGGCAGGAGCTGGGGGAAGCAGAGCTCATTCTTCCCAGGACTGCTGCAGACCGTGGGTCTGCTGGAAACAGCTCAGTCCATCCATGGGCAGTCAGGGCAATGAATAGAGAGAACTGAAATCACCCGCGCTCGTACTCTTTACGGCCTGACAGGCGGTTATGCATCTCCACCATGTACACACTTCCCACAAGAGGAGCTTTGGCAAAGCCCCAGGACTCGTGCTGTGGCCTCTCCCTTTCCTTTGAAGGTGCCCGAGTCCTGCCAGGGAGAGGGTCTCTGAATGGCAGGGCCTGCTGCCAGCGCTGCTCTCAGACGATGGAACCCCTGGCCAACCCAATCTGAGAGCGTCGCGGCGGGCAGCACAGCTTCTGTGCTCTGCCAAGCCTCCCCCACCTCCCTCCTCTAATCTGAAATGAATTGGCAGCAGCCACTACCTGCAGCAGGAAACACGGGAAGGAAAACTACCTTCCCATGATAATGGGGAGGGCACCAGACTCTACTGCATGTTCTTCAGCCAGCTTTGCCTCCTCTCTCCCCTCCCATTTCTTCTTGCAGCTCCAGTCCATCCCTCTGTGCTGGCCAGGAGCTGTGTGGATGGGGACAGCCCTGTGGCCACCCGGGGCAATGCCTGTCTCTGGAGGCAGGCTGCCCCTCATCCAGTAGCCCCATCTGAAACCGGTTTACTTTTGTGCTTACCCATGCACCGGGGGGCATCCCTGGACCACTTCCTCAAGCGAGTCCAAGCACCACCATACACCAACCTATTCCGGCAGCTCATCCCTGCAAGCCTCATCTTTTTCTCTCTTCCCAGCTTCCAACTTTACCCAGCACATCATCGCCTTTTGCTTTGCTAAATTCAAGAGCAGGGAGGTGGCTGTTCAAAGCGACCCTGCGCTGGCTGCCCTGGCCGGGATGGGGAAGGTTGTTCGCTCGATGCAGTGGCAGAAATCCCACCCACGCTGAGGATGGAGCCTGCCAGAGCCACCCAGCGTGAGGGGCTGAGCAGAGCAAGGTGATGGGTTTAGCAGCAACAGGATTAGCAGTGAGCCCACTGTGCAACTCCCGGCAGCACTGGTGGCTCTGGCAGCACCCACCGTCCAACCCAGCTGCCCCAGAATGGCATCAGCGGTGGAGACAAAGAGTCCGTGGTGGACATGGGCTGGGAGGAATCCCTGTTCGATAGCTTGAGCTATTCTGGGGGTGAAGACACAACCAGGGATGTTTCTCCTGGGGAGTGGCATCCCCTCCCCTGCAGCCAGACACTCTGCCGCATCCTCACGCCCCCCTGGTTGGGGTGACACAAGGGACCATGCTGTGGGACAACCCCTTGCTAGCACCCTCTTCGCTGCCCCTCTGCCCCATTACCTCCAGCAGGAGACTCAAAAACCCCTGCCTGAGCCAGCACATTAGTGACAACCTCCAAGTATCCCCATGGGGGTGCCCTGAGTGATGGCTCTGGTCTCCCACTGCACCATGCCCACCCCCATGGGTGGTGATGCCCAGTGGGGTGGTGCAGGTGTAACATTAGCAACCTGTCACAGATGCTCTGTGACCAGAGGGAAGGCGAGTACCAAATCTGCTGACCTCTGAGCCCCACCACCACCCCCCCAACTTTGGAGAGCTTCCTGGGCTTCTGCATCTCAGACAAATGCACCCTTTGCTCTGCCAGCTCCAAGGAGAAGGACAAAAGATGAGCAGCCGAGGGGTTAACGCATGAGCAGCCTCACCTCCTCTGAGTCCAACGCTGCTTTTATTAATTCATGTGGCACTTTGCAGGACGCTCCAGTAATCACCAGGGTGCACGTGAGAGCCAGGAGCGGGTGGCCGGCCTCGCTGCACCGTGCTCGTGCTCACTTAACAGCTTGTCACATCCTCCTCACTCAAGTATTCAGTGCTAATGCATCTCTTAAAGTGCTTCATGAGCTATTAAAGTCGAGCGCGTCTCAAGTGCATGATAAATGGACTCTATGCCAGCATCTTCCCCCACTCCACCTGGTCTCTGCCACCACGGAGGGCATCCTCCCACCCCATTCCTGATGTGCTTTCCCAGCCCGTGTGCCCAGCTGGCTGGGGATGAGCCCTGGGGCTGGCTGGTGAGGGGAGGCTGCAGGAGGGCAAGGAGTAGGGGGGGTGTGGAGCCCACCCTTCGGGTCTCCAATGCAGGGCAGACGCTCCCCTACTTCACCTGCATGTATGCATCCTCTCCAACCTGGGGACAGCAGGGTGGGCAGAAAACCTGCTGCTCCAAAGCCTATAATCCGAGCATCACCTCAGTGTTTCAGACAAGTGCCCAAGAAGGACACTTGATGACTCTGAGGAACAGACTGAAGACAGTTCTGGAACTGCCCTACTAGCTTTCCTCCTGCTCTTATACCAAATTTTCCCTCCTCTCTCCTTTTTTACATTCTCCAGTGCAGAGCAGCCTCTCTGGCTCCTGCAGATGGGGAGAGTCTTGTCTCACTCCACGCACCCCCTCCAGGGCTGTGCTGTTGAAGTGCTCAGGTCTCAGCAGCAGTGATTTTGAGCTGGTGCCCTAGACATCTCCCTCCCGGACTCAGCCAGGGAGGAAGTAGGGACACAGGGATGGGGAGGCTATGCTGCCAAATCCCCGAGTCCTGCTGGATCACAGAGCAGAAGGTGACAGTCACTGCAGCTTGCCTGCCCAGGGGTCTTGCCCACGGCTGTGCTCTCTGTGGCAAAATGAGTGGCCCTGGCCAGCGCTGGTGGGGAGCAGTGTTTGTCTGTCTGTCGAGGCAACACATTCCAAGTGTGCATAACCCTGAAGTACCTGGCACTTCTCTGCTTTGTGCACTTCCCTGTGTGACAGGTCTGGGCTGCCTTCCCCACAGCTCAGAGGGAAGCAGCATGGTGCATCCAAAGGATGCTCTGGCAGCCTTGACACTGGGTCCTTCAAGGCTTATTGGGTCCTTCAGTGAAAAATAATGGTCAGTGAAAGGCTTCCCAGGTAGCAGTCTGGGAAGCAGAGCAGGACCAAGCAGCATTGCTTCTCTGCAGAAAGCAGCACACTGCTCAGCACCCCAGTGCTTTGAGCAGGCACCCTAGGAATGTCTGGGAAGGTTCCTGCAACACCAGCCAGCAAGCTCCCTCTGTGTCCAGATAGTGGCTGTCCCCATGCAATGGGGACGTGCTGACAAACCCCAGCCACTTTGTGTCCAAGCAAGCAAGGCTGCCAGCTTCCAGCAATGTAAACCCAAGCAGCTGGATTTAGAGGAGCTCAGCGGGGTGCTCTGGCTGGGTTCCTCAGTCCCACAGAGCCCACAGATGCACAGATGTCCTTACTGGAGTTAAGCAGCAAAATTCTCCTCTGTAATCCATCACACACTGACTGCCAGGGATACAGTAGGTTTTGGAGGTCTTCCATTTTGTCCCATTGTTTCAGAGATGCCATAGGTGACCCCACAGTGGGACCCAACCCACTGCCCCATAACATTCCCCCTCCTGCCTGCACCCAGGATCACTGGTGTCCCTAGAATTTCATCTCTAAAGCCATTGCTAAGGTAAGCACCAAATGCTCTGCTAATCTGGACAGGCAGGAGCTAGTGGTGGGTACAGATGGGTTGTAGCAACAGGGTCAAAGCCACCCTAAGGAGGTGAGAACAGGATGAGGCATCCACCATGGTCATGGGGTAGGGTCTCAGGGCTTGGGGCTGTCAGGCTGCTGCTTCTTCCCACCCGCTCATCCCTTCACAGGTGGCTTGCACAGGGCAGTGTGCAGAAAAGGGAGGGTAAAGGGCTGGGAAGCAATTCCCAGGAGTGAGAATTCCCTGCCCTGGCCACAGGGACACCCTGGGACACTTAGGGGTGTGGGAAGGGCAAAGGGGAACATCAGGCATTGTGGGGATGCCCAGATCCTGCAGCGGTGGGCAGGAGGGGACACGTGTATCACGCAGGAGAAAAGTGATAAACATCCAGAGATATAGTATCAGGCAAGCCTGGAGAGCAGATCCAGCCTGCCCTGGGAGAGAGGCTGGAGGAGCAGCATTCATGCTTTTGGGGACCCTCAAGGTGGGAGAGGTGTGAAGAGACTCACCCTGCTGGCTGTGTCTCTGGGCGTAGACCACCACCACCGCGGCGAGCACCACGCAGCAGGCTGACGGGACAGGGTTAGCCATCTGTGGAAGCAAACACAGGCAGGAGCAGTCAGGGTTTGCCCCCAGGAGCCCTCGCACGCTCACGTGGTGAGAGCCGGTCCCTTCTGGGGAGCTGAGGGGCGCGAGGAGATGGCCACGAAGCAAGACTTCATCTCAGCTATGGAGATGTTTTGCTGGTGCACACTTCGTAGCTCAATGGCCTGAGGCATTTTCATGGGAGCTGACAGCACAACCAGGTGCCCGCAGGCGACCATGTACCTTGCACAAATGCTGCATTTTCCCCACCTCTTTTTCAACCTCTCCCTTAAGAAAGCCAAACCCTGGTGCTGGGCTCTCCTTGGAAGCTGCAGCATCAGTCTAGGAGAAGACACTGCCTGCAAGGAGGTTGCAGAGGTTTTTTGAAGAGATGGGAGAGCACCCAGGCACTTCAGAGCAGCAGTCGGTGCTCAGGATGCACAAAATGTGGATCCCAGCACTGGGAGCTGCTGCTCCTCCAGTGTGGCCCCTTCTGGCACTGGCATGGAGCACCGTGCTGTCCGCCAGCCCGACGCAATCCCAGCAGCAGCATCTCTGGGCATGCCAGGGACACGTCATTGGTGTCTTTGCAGTACTGTGTGCTGCCTCAGCCACCTGCCTTTGACACCCCCATGGGCCACCATCAGCCCCCATCTCTCTGGGCTGGTAGATGGGAAGAGGCAGCTCCATCCCAGTGAGTTGTGCCATGTCCCAGAGGATGCCAGGGTGCAGGGAGGCATGGAGGGGGTTACAGATAAGAAGGCAGGCAGGTGGAGACACACTGGGCTTTAGGGACAAACAAGAACATCCTCCATGGAACGACTAACTTCTCTGGGGGTGGACAAACGGCAGCAACAACCGCAAGGATGCCCTGCACAGCCCTGCCAGGCACGTAGACACCTGAGCTCTGCTCCTCTTGCAGATGGGGCCAGTGGAGAAGACCAGAGCTGGGATGGAGCTGCTGGGGACAGTGATGGGGACGCTGGCTCACCCGCCAGGAGGTAAATAGCACCATGCGTGAAAAGCAAATTACACCTTCAAAACTGTTTAAACCTCTCTAATCTCCAGCGCCGTATCGGTAACACGTGGAGGATTGCCTTTTAATCTAGAACATGAGTATGGGCTCGTTAGCCAGATGGCATCCATTTAAACCTAAATAAAGGGGAGCTGTACTGTCCAGAGGAAAAAAAAACCCAGCAAAATGTATTCCATTACCCAACATGGCAATTGCAAGAGCCCAGATGGCTTCAGGTTCGCAGCAGGACACAAGCCTTTTTGCAGGGCTGGAAGGGAAGGCCAGCACGGCTGGGGGGGATGTCACGAGCAGATTTTGGTGTGCAGCCTGATCTCAAATGCCTCTCAGGAGCAGGGACGCTGGAGGGGACTGGGGCCCTGAAAACAGGGAGCTGGGGGACAGGGAGAAGAGAGACACCCCCAGCCTCGCTGCTGAATGCGCAGCGCTGGGTTTGGGCAGGGAGAACAAGGACACACCAGCCCCAGACTCTGCTCTCAGCCCAGCCCCAGCCCTCCTGGGTCACCTTGAGCAAATCACTCTCAGTGCCTCCCCCCTGCCTCAGTTTCCCTGCCTGTAAAACAGAGATAATGAAGATGACCTTCCTTGGAAAGCTCTGGCCGAAGAGCGCTAAGTGCTAATTACAACATCGTTATCATTCACTCTGCCTCCTCTCTCCTGCTCCTCCTTTTCCTTGTGCTCTCGGCTCTGCCTCCTCAACGTGTCCCCCCCCAACCCTGTGCTTGCAGCGTGGCTCCCCTGCTGCCACCCCCCTGTGCACTAGCTGCCATGGCAAGTGGCAGCCTGGGGAGCCGGTGATGGCCAGGACCCCAGGTAGGTGGCAATGCCACATCCCAGGGCAGTGCTGGCACGCTGAGCCCTGAGGAGACTGGGATTTGCCCGCAAACCAGGAGCCGACCTTCCCTACCAATCCCAAATTCACTTCCCACTCAATATTCCCTCCCCACAGCCCTGGAAGACAGTGGGATGGCACCAGGAATTGAAGCAAGCAAGGAATTCCATCAGGGATGGAGTTGTCCACCACCCCCACCCCCCTTCCCTGGACCACAGTTCCAGTATCCCCCAGGTAGCGCAGCCATCCCATCTCTGGGGACTGGCAATGATGGAACAGAGGACAGGAGCCCCACTGACCCCCCCCAGCAACCAGCCTGCTATTTGAAAAGAGTGGGATCTGCTCACTGTAGCCTTTGGTTGGCTCACACTGGTGCAAGTGTCACCACCAACCATCACATTCTACGTCTCAGTCCTGCCACGGAGCAAAGCCACCCACCCTCCCCCGCTGCTCCTCATCTCATCGGTTGTTAAAATAATTAGTGCTGCTCCTTCCCATGAGCCTGTCAGTCTCACCCACGGCCAGACCAGCATGGAGACAGGCACCACAGTTACATGGCAAGGGACGATTCCTGTCCCGAAGCACCAGCAGGCTCGAGGGTGATGCTGTTTGGCTACAGGTGGAAAAAGAGAGAGCGAGGAGGGACCCGGCCAAGGTCCCCGGGACTCTGTGTCATGGCCAGGACACAGGCAGAGGCTCCAAGTGCTGGCACAGAGAACTCATCGCTTGGCTGCTTTCACCCTGCAAAACCTAATTTCTTCTCGGAGATGAGCCCTGACGCCAGGCAGGAGCCGGAGCTATTTTAGTGCGAAAAATCTAGCCAGAAAACCAACTTTTCCTCACTTGAATCTCAATTTCCCATGCAGCATTTGCTTTGTTTGCCTGTTTTGCCCAAAGCCATGTTGATTTTTATTTTTTTTTTTCCTAAGCACATAACAAAACCATCACAATTTCTGCAGATGCTTGTAATGCAAATTTCCATTTGCTGTATTTGCTCATTTAACAGTTTCTCTAGCAAAAGCCAGCGCCCCGGCATGCGGGCGCACGGTCCAGCGAGCAGCAGCTCCCCAGGCATGCAGCTCCCCAGGCCGTGTCCGTCAAAGGTGACAGTGGGGAACCACATTTATTACACTGCCAACCCAGCAGTGGGAAACTCAGTCTTCTGCGGAAAAAAAAAAGAGGTTGGAAAAGTATTTGCTTTTGCCCCTGTAGTGAATCATTTCCGGGCGGCGGAGAGGAAAGAGGAGCCTGGGCAGGAGCAGAGGGAGGTAAGGGGGTACACACAAGATGTGGTGTCCTGGCAGCTCTGGAGCTGCAGCCACCTCCAGCAGCCTTCCTCGATTTCCCCAGATCCTTGTTTTGGGAGAGCTGGGTCAGGCTATATTTAAGCAGGATACGGTGTGACCCACATGAAGATAAGCTATCCCTGTAAGCAGGATTGAAGGGGCACAGTGATGTGACATTAACTGCTGTGACATGAGGAGGTGAGGACAGTCCAAGGTGGGTAGCAAGAGCAAAGAGGATCATGCATCCAGGCAAAAAAGTAGGATGCCACCATCTGCTGAACAGTCCCAGTGCCCTCTTCTGAGTGGGCAGAGGCATAGATCCTGTCCAGCCCTCCCTTAAAAGGATCCCCAAAGCCATGGGGATGCTTACTGGAAATGGGGTATCAACTGGTGACAGCCAGCTGGAAACTGCTTGCCCATCCTGAAAGCACCTTCCAGAGGCCAAGAGACTCCTTGTTGTGGGCTGGGACAAACCTGGGACCTTCTGATGTTCCTGAGATTCAGTGCGTGTCACCATCACATGCCCCAGATGCCTGGCAGCTCTAGGACAGGGCAATGTATGGCTGGTGAGGGACACAGGCTGCAGCCCAGCCTCCTCCCAGACCAGCCCCCTCTCAGACACATTAAATAAGTGAGAACCTGTTCTGGAAGCAAGTGGCTCCACAGCAGAAAAAGTGGTAGTTTCCAAAGCTAGCATTTCCAGAACGAAGTCTTCTGTCAGGCAGTTCCCCACCAGGTGCTGTTAGAGGGCCTGGCTCTGAAGTGGTGACCCAGGGGAGAAAAAAGCTCCCTTCAGTTGATTACTCCCCACGATGCCCATGCAGCCTTGCCCAGAGCCTTCCAGAGGAGCTCTGCAGCGCCTGTACTGCAGGCACTGGCTGTAGACACTGTGTAGACACCAGCTGTAGACACCACGGAGCGTCTGCACTGCAGACACTGACTGTAGAAGCTATGATACACCTGTACTGGCTGTAGATGGTTTCGTAAGCCTGTACCACAGATGCTGACAGCAGACACTGCAGCACACCTACCCTGCAGGAGTCATGAGCTGCTTGTCTCCAAGGTGTGATGCTCCTCCTGTAGTGCAGATGCTACCTGTAGCCATTACAGCCCACCTGTGCTTGGAGACACTTGCAGCAGACACCTCCAGGTCCCCAGCCCCACAGAAACACCCTTACCAAAGCCACCCTGGGTTGGTCAGCCCAGCCCTTTGCCAGCAGAGATCCTGCCACAGCTTTTCCCAGCCCTGGGGAATCTGGGGTGCCACCCGAGTGCTGGGACAAGCGGTGAAGCACCTCAGTGGGCAGGACACCCCTCAAGTCCCGGTTCCTGCAGGGATTGCACCACTTGTGGGCATCCCTTTGGGGTGAGGGACGGCCCTGGGAGCAGCTCTTGGGCACCCAAAAGCATTAAGTGCTGTCTCCTTCCTTCAGACCTCCCCTGACAGCAAGGTGAGGGAAAGAAAAGGGAAAAATAGTTGTTGCTTAATTCTGTGCACTTGCCAACAGCCCTGAAACCTCCTGGTCTCGCAATGTGCCGCTCATGCTGAACTCCACTTCGCTGCTTAAGAGGAGGAGAGAAAAGAGGGGCTTTATCATCTCCTTAATATGTGCTACCAGAAAGCCTTACCTGCAGGGCCAGAGCCCCTGTTGCTTGAAAAGCCTTCTTAAATCTAATTTAAACCCCCACTGTCAACAGGGCGATTAGCACTGCCCCCCTGGACCACAAACGCCGCAGGGATGACTGGGGCCAGCTGAAATTAATTCGCTCATGGCTCTTGCAGGCTGTGACTTTCCTCCCTCCACCTCCTTCCTTTCCAGTAACAAAGTGGAGATGCCAAATAAGCACAGATGCC